AGATTTATCATAATTGCACGTTTTAATCTTATGAACAAATCTAGTGTAGTTTAGTTTCAATTATGTTTATGTTTACTTCTGAAGCACGAAGTTCATTTCATATTTAGATAAAAAGCACGTAACTTATTATTTTTCATAAAAAACACGTATTGCATTTTGCTAAATCAGCATTTAATTAGTATAAATAGAGCTATAGAATGATAGTTAGTTAGTTCAAAATTGTAACTCAAACAGTTCAATTCATAAAGTGAATAAAGAAACATTTTAAAGTGAATAAATCTAATGTATTTTCATCTATGAAACTACATTTTGGTCCTTCGAGAAAAAAAAGTAACACATCAAGTAATTAAAAGCGAAAGCTCTGTTCTATAAAGAACGAAAAAATACCTAAGTTGAGAATCAAATTTCTACTGGCCAGAGAACTTTGAAAATCTCGCTTTCGACAAGAGAATTCAAGTTAATAATCAGTACAAGTAAATTTCGACAAAGAAATTAAAAGTTTAATACTCGACAAAGAGTGAAATTTCTAGTAAACTCGACAGAGAGTAATTATTCAAGTGAAAAATCGGTTCAAGTGAATTTCTACAAGAAATTTAAAGTGCAACACTCGCCAAAGAGTCAAATTTCAAAAAACTCGACAGAGAGTCATTATTTAAAAAAAAAATAAATCTGCAGAAAAAGAAGGAAAAAATGAGTGAAAAAGCTGATTTACTCGAAAAGAAAGCCCAATTGGCCGACGACATAAAAAAAGTACATGCGGCATATAAAAAAGAGCCAAAAGGTCGTCTCAAAAAACGTGAACGCTTGATTCATTGGGGCACAAAAATGCAAGATCTTTGGGATTCGTACAAACAAAACAATGATGAGCTGACAAAGAAGGCGAAGAAGGTGGAAGTTCGATGCAAGAGTCATTCAACGAAACAAAGCTATACTACGATGATTTATGTGCCAATGTGCAGTTGAAATTAGGCAAACCATTAAGCCAATTTATTTCGGTTCAATCAAATGATGACGAAAATGAAAAAGAAGAAGTAATGGAAGAAACTGAATCAGACGAAAATCACGATGATGAACCAGAAACAAGTGATAGTTTTGCTACACCAAAACCATTGCCAAATTCACTCTATTCACGTTTCGTATTACGCGACAAAGAAATGAAAGATAAAATAGAAGAAACAGCCGACCGTTTCAATAGCAAGGCGAAATTATTCAACAGACATCTCGATGTAATTGAAGAAAGCATAAAAAATAACATGCATTCGCGAGCACAAATGTCAATAAAAAATATTGAAGCAAAATGGAACGATTTGTCTGAATATATGGATGAACTAAATTTTGTAATGGGAGACGATGCAGTCGATTATGAGGAGATATTTAATGCAACATGGTCGAGATATGATCAGCTGTCGGAAGATGTATACAAGGAAAAGCAAGAAAAAACAACACAGCTGAAACTGAAACCTATCGAATAGACCGGCCCAAAATTTATCGAGGTCGTGATTTTTGTGGTGCTCAGCGCTTAAATGAAATAGGGCCGTAAAAAAATAAGAATGCTCTTTTCAGAAACCCATTCTGTTCCATAAATAGGCTCCCGCATCGCATATGTTTGAGCACCCTGCTCCCTCAAAAATTCACAAAATGATCCATAGAGCAAAACTGATAGCCAAACTTCGATCCTAATGTATGGTGACATATGTTTGCACGACCCTAGCGAAGACATTGGCAGTATCCGATTTCATCTATCTGCTCTATTTTCCAAAATAGGCCCAATATTTTCTCTGAAAATCGGTCTACTTCAAAATTTGGGGTTGACCACGGATTTTAAAATTACCACCATTTTAAGGTCAGCTTGGCCCAAGATGACGAGAAATGTAAAATAAATAACATTCCCGGCGAGAAATAGTCGAAAAAATTCAATTTCCCTTATGAAAGTACTGGAAAAATGAAAAAATATGAAATTTTCCCATTTTGCACATTTTGCATGAAAAATCACATTTTTTCCATCATTTGGAGGATTTTAACAACTCATTTTCATCTAGGTTTTGATGAAGAATCGATTTTGCGTATCGCACTACCCTCCCAGATTGTCCAAAAAGCGCGTTTTCCTCACCGATGTATTAAAATTGTCACATTTTTAACAAAAAATAGCATTTTCATCCACAAAATTGCCGCTTTTTAGTCTTTTCTTTCATTAAACTTCCATTCTTTGGTCGAAAAAATACCAATTTATAAACATAAAACACCGATTCGACCATCATTTCAGTTTCAAAGTGGGATTTTTTACTAATGAAAAAACTACCATCTGAAACGCGTAAAATTTATGAACAGTCACGTGAACATCCAAAAGAAGAACAAAAATTGTCAGAATACTTCGAATTTATCTATAAAAGATGTAAAGTGTTACAAGCAGTAGAAGTAAACATCAGAAGTAGTATAAAGAAAGTGAAAGACAAGTGTGTGAATTGTAACGAAAATCATGCACTTTTTATGTGCGAAAAGTTCAAGGCACTCTCAGTTAATGAACAGCGAGAAATTGTAAAGCAGAAGTCACTTTGTTGGTTATGTCTTAAAGGTGTACCAAAGCATACAGCGCTTGAGTGCAAATTTAGAAAGCTGTGTCCACAGTGCGATAAGCGACATAATGGTTTATTGCATTTGAATGAGAGTGAAAAATCCGATAAAGGTGAGAAAAAGTTCGAGAAATTTGGTCGACCATCGAAAGAATACAACAAAAAATCATATGTAGCGACAACAGCAAATAGCTCAGTAATATGTGCAACAACCCACGATGAAAGTAATGTAAATAGACTCGGTTTTTTCGTCGATTATTTGCCGATTCTCAATGCTTTGTTCACTTTTAGTTTGCTGAAATTGATTTCAGAACACTTATGATGCGTATTTTTCACTTTGGGAATTTTAGCGCGTGGCTTTGATTGTTAAACTCAAACTTGCTTCTGCACTGTCTGATGGTTCACACTCGGATGTTCGTTCGATTCACTGCGTTTGAGTTACTCGCTTAGCTGTGTGAGCCGATGCCGCTTCTATCGTCCCAATGATGTGATGCTGTGTTGCATAGTGTGTGGCTATCATATTGCGTTGTATATGCGCATGTACGTTTGTGTGCGTCCAATGTCGGTCGTCCTGTGTGTGGCTATGCCAATCGATGCTGTGTTGCTCGTTGTGCCTTATTGCCTACTGCCATAAATCCTCTCATTTTACGACTTCAGCATGTTTGTTTGGTCGATTTTCAATCGATGCACATTTTTATGAAATGTGATATTGGTTCCAAATGTTCGGCAGTTTATTGCTGTGTCACATTTTGTCGCTATGTTGCTTTCTTTTTATGGCCAGATTTTGGGAATTTTTCCGACGTAGACCGTAATTTTTTCAGTCGCCTACGTTGAAGTGTTGTTGTCATGTTGTGTGCACTCTTATCTATGTTGATGCTTCACGAGAGTAAATCCCCGCACATGTGTTGACCGTTGATCAGGCGATCGTTTGTGCGGTCTCCTTCCGAGAAACCCGATGATTTATTTTGCTCTCTTCAGATTTCTCTATGTTGAGTGTCTGTGACGACAAATTTCTTGCACGAAATGATTCGTCTCGCTGTGGTGCGTTGTGAGAAAAAATGCTTTTGACCGTAAACTGTTGGTCTGTCGTTTTTTCTCACAGTCGAAGGACCATGTTGAGAATTAAAGTAAAGATGAGAAATAAAAATGCGTTGCGTACGATTTTAACAAATTTATTCGATGTTCACAAACTCACGTCTACCATAATACTGAATCTTTCTTCGCTATGGCGCGGCTATTTATTCTATTCTAAATACGCATATGGCTGCTTGATTTGTTCACTATTAATTCTAGTTTTCTGTTCAACTTTGAACAACACGGAGCAATTAAATATTCGAAAATGAGTTCGAACTTCGAAATGATGATTTTCTAAATCATATCGGAAGTTTTTTTTTCGAAAACGGGTTCGAATTTCAGAAATACATTTTTTCAAAATTACACAAAGAAATTAAATATTCGGAAATGAGTTCGAACTTCGAAATGATGATTGCGAAATGCGAATATACTTTCTTTATTTAATTTTCGACGAGGAATCTATTTTCGACGAAATTTCATTCAGGCTCATGTACATTTGTCCATTTTGGTTGTATTTAATTGGTTTGGTCCGTTTGTCCGTTTATGATTGCATTTGGTCCGTCCGTTTGTTTGTCCGTCCGTTTGTTTGTCCGTCCGTTTGTCCAAGTAACTTGTCCGTTTATGATTGGGATTTGTCCGTCCGTCCGTTTGTCCGTTTGCTAAATGTCTGTTTGATTCGGACAAACGGACGGACCGTGTGGCGGCTGTTGAACGTCAAAGTCATTTGAGGCGACGCGAGCGCCCCCAATTTCAAAGGGCACATTAATGTAATTTAACATTTCAAATCGGAACTACACAGCGCGCAAATTCGAAATATAGGAAAATATAGTGTCAACAGCCGCACCATGGGACGGACGGACGGACGGACAAAAACGGAGGAGAAAAGTTACTTACCCGATAGCGTTATTAAGATTCCATCATAATAACGATATCGAACGATATTTTTAGTTTATTCTGATATCTTAATAAAAAAAAATCGTGAGCACAGCTATAGATAAAGGTGATGATTGTATTCCTGAAAACTGCAATCTTGTGAGGACCTTTTTTTTTCTTTTTTTTTTTAGTCCTCACTTTTTTCGGAGACTGGTTTTACACTAGATAGAATCGATTTCCAAAAGTGAGGACCTTTTTTTTTAGGTCTTCATTTTTTTTCACACCCATTTATAAATTTGCAGACCCCCCCCTGGCAAAATCATTTTACCCCCCCCCCCCCTAGAATTTTTGACCTTGCACACGTCTGATCTTGACAACACTCTCAAAGAAAACATCACACCGATCTTAGCCGGATTACTTCGGAGTGTGGAAATGATGTTTTAAATTGAACAAAATGATTCCAACGGTTTTTATTCTAGGCGATGAGGGGGCGATGAACGATTCTCTCATCTATGTGGGAACCGAAATGTTAGAAGGAGCTCGCGCTGTGCCGCCAAAAAAAGAAAAAGAAGAAAAGGCCGATGCAAGCAATCAACAAGGTTTGTTTTTATATTCGTTCATACATTTAAAAATCATTTCATGCTTTTTACTAATGGTTGTTGTGTAAATGAGAAACTAATTTTTTTATTCAATTCACTTAGATATTGAGGCGGCGATGAACGATTCGATTATTTATGTGGGTACCGAAATGTTGGAAGGAGCTTGCGCTGCACCGCCCAAAGAAGAAAAGAAAGAAGAGGCAGATGCATCCAATGGCCCAGGTTTGTTTTCTTTATTTGTTCAATACTTTTTTATGGTGTTCATTTCATTTTCACATGATATGTGTGCATACATATTTGAATAACTTTTTTTGAAAATACTTTCAGGCAATTATTCTGCAGATATTTCTGCAGACTCTGGCAGTTCGTTTGGTGAACCATCTAAGGACTACACAGCAGAATTAAAGCTACTGTACTTTGGTCATGCTTCGGTTATCGGCGTAGAAGGAAATCGCTTGGAAGAAAATCGTTCGGAAGGAAACCGTTTGGACGAAATCAAAGGCGAATCAAATGACCAATCAATTGAAGAAAAAGTTGACGTTTCGGCCATTGAAAAAGTAAAGAAACAAATAGACTTTTGATTTTTGTCAAACAATTTTTCATTGTTGTTGTTCAAATACACTGCTTGCCAATTTAAATGAACCCATCAATATAAAGCATCAAATTAAAGTATCAAAATAAAAGTCATTCATTCGTAAATTTACGCTTTTTACTCGTTTTTGTTATGAATAGGATGATTATTTTGATCTCAAAAGAATCCAACCTCAGATAAGGTTTTTTTAAGTAGATAAAGTTGTTCTGATTTATATTAATGATTAAAAATACAAATAAAAAGAGCAATGCAATCAACGATATTCGATGGTTTTTTACTAATATTCAAATTCTTTTGAAAAAAAAAACATCTTGAAATAAAAAAAAATAAATTCACACATTTGGTTCTGTTAATTATATTAACACTTGTTTTGATTCATTAAGACTAGTTGCAAGTTGTTAGACCTATGCAATTTTTCGTTCGAAATTTTTTGCCACTGTGTTGGGACTCATGTTATTACAGCTGATTCCAAAAATAGTTTGTTTGCGGTGGACTGTATGGATACGGATACGGGGCAAAAGAGTGGCCTTTATAAATATGAAAGAAAATTATTATAAGAATGTTTTAAATTTAACATTGAGAACAGATTTAGGTGGTTACTTTGTGGCGGTGTATATGGTGTTTGTGAAGTCGGTGGTATCGTTTGGAATGGCAAGTGAAACGATTGCATCGGTGGCATAGCTTTCTGTGACAGTTGAATCTCCTGATATGGTTGCGATGTGTTGATCGATTGCTGTAGCGTTTGCATCGTGTGCATGTTTTGGTATGGCTGCTGCAACTGGAACTGCTGCATTGGTGGCATAGCTTGCTGTGGCGGTTGAATCGCTTGGCATGACTGTAATGGGTCGAACGATGTTACCGCTGGCGTAGTTTGTAAGGGCTGTGACGTTTCCATCGGTGGAAATGAATCAGAGGCACGTAATTCATCAGTGGATGATAATTTCACTGAGTGTTGAGTTGCCTTTCGAGCAGTGCAAATCGCATTGTTGAAAAGTTTTTGCAATCGGCTAAATCTCTCTGTTGATAACTCATCGGTTAATCCCTCAGAATTTAGTCTCTCTAGTAACATGCGCGAAACTATATCAACTTTTTCTGGCGAAAATGCTTTTTTACCAACCGGCGCTCTCACATCGGTTGCCACTCGGTTCAAGAGATTATGCTTGCCGCCATGCATATAATCCAAACATTTTGCGACGAAGGTTGAATCATATCGATTTCCTTTTTTTATAGAACGCAACTTTTTGATTTCTGAACTAGAAAAATATTTTTCGTATTGTTCGAACTGATTTAATGTGTCTGTTTTGTGCATTTGGGCTTGGAGATTTTTTATTTTCATTTCCTTCTGTAAAATAATACTTTTAGATTCCGTCAACAGTTTTTTAAGTGTTTTATTATCCTTGATGAGTTTAGAGTTTTCTTCTAATAATTTTCGGCACTTCACTTCAAGATCACATTCTGACACAGGCGGCAATATCTCAGCAGACACACAGTTCAATGAACCTGAGATTTAATTTTTGTCTTTTTCAATAGTTTCAAATGCTTCTTCCAATTCCTTCGTGTAGATGGAATGGCGTTCAAAGGGTTGCATATAATTATGAATTTTATTTTTTTGTTTATTCGTCACTTTTAGATTTCGGCCTTTTTTATACATATTGAATTTTGATTTTTTTCCACTTTCCCTTCAAAAAACGGAGTAACCGCTACCGTTCTTGAAAATTTCAAAACTGTCGACAGTTTATTATTTAGAAAATGAAGAGAATGAGAGAAAGAGCGAAAGAAAGGGAGAAAGAATGAACCAACAAGTGCAGTACGTTAGAACACATTCATGCCGCATATATATTGTATTCGTGCGTTACGCACATCGTTTGTGTGAGTGTGCTCATGTACACTATACACAGCGCACACATGCTGTGTTAGTGTACAATGTACATGAGCACACTCACACAAACGATGTGCGTAACGCACGAATACAATATATGCGGTACGAATGTGTTCTAATATTTGCGCTGTCCCGCGCTGTCTCGCGCTGTTCCGCTCATTCGGCTGTATTCAGTGTGTATGTTTTGTACATTCCATAACGCGGAATAGCGCCAATATGAAGCGCGTAGCGCGGAAGGTTTATATGGGCGGGAAACTGTTACACAACCACATGATCTCAGTCCAGAGCAAAAAGCACAATTAAAGGCGGTGGTAGATAAATTTCCATACACGCCTCAAACCGGTCCACTCAACAAAACCAACTCATATGTACAGCAGATCACTTTAATTCCAGGTACCATACCAGTCAAACGAGATCAATACCCGCTTTCACCTTATGTGTTGGAAGAGGTACGGGCGGAAATCTCTAACTTGTTGGCCAAAGATATCATCGAACCACTTGATAAGAGCCCTTGGCGTTGGCCCATATTGTGGGTTAAAAAGAAGACCGGCGGCGGAAGAATTTGTTTGGATGCACGCGGTCTAAATAAGTTAACGATACCTGACGCCTATCCATCGTTTAACGTCGACCAAATACTCCGAAATTTGCCAAAAGCCAAGTATATCACCGGCCTTGATATGACGCAAGCCTTCCACCAGATGGAAATCGCACCGACAGACCGAAACAAGACCGCTTTCGCAATTGACAATAAGTTTTACTGTTACAAAAGGGCCGTAATGGGATTTAGAAACAGTCCAGCTGATCTCACCAAAATGTTAGCCGCGATTTTCAGTGATATGGCTCCAAATGTTTACCATTATGTAGACGATTTCGTTATACTTAGTTCAACGTTTGAGGAACATTTATCCGTCCTGTCCGAAGTGGCTAAGCGATTACAAGCCAATAATCTCACCATCAGTAGAGAAAAATCTTGCTTTTGTTATAAACGATTGTCGTTTTTGGGTTATATTCTCACCGAGGATGGGTTAACAGCCAATCCAGAACGTATTCAGCCCATTCTCAACTACAAACGACCAGAAACAGTCCGAGAATTGCGACGCTTAGTCGGTCTGATCGGTTGGTACAGGCGTTTTCTCCACAAAGCCGCTGAAAAAATCGCCCCATTAACCGATCTGATTGAAAAGGATAGCAAACGGAAAGTCGCTTGGACGGCAGCGGCCGAGGAAGCATTCGAGCTTATCAAACACGACCTCACTCATGCACCAATCCTCGTTCCTGCCGATTATTCGTTACCGTTCAAGTTGTATACCGACGCAAGCCTCATTGCCGGAGCAGGAATTCTCACTCAAATTCAATCTGGTCAAGAGAGAGTGATTGCATATCACTCGGTAAAATTTTCCAAAACGCAGCAGAATTATAGGGCCACAGAACGTGAGTGTCTCGCGGTGCTCAACGCAGTTGGAAAATTTAGACCGTACATTGATGAAGTAGCGTTCACGGTGGTAACAGACCATGCCAGCCTCAAGTGGCAAATAAACATATGCTTTTACAAGCAACAATCAGCAATATTATTGTAAACAAATAATCTCACAGCAGATTGACACAACAAATGTCATATATTGACATATATTGACGCTGTGTGATGCTGATGGTGCTGTCAATCGTACAAAAAATGTAAAACAGAAAAAAGGAGGGAAATATTTTGTGTTTGAAGATCAAAGAAATGGTTGCTGCTTCAAGATTTTGTTTTATATTTTTTCTTCTATGTTTCAATTGATGGCACAAATTTGTTGTTCAACATTTTGCAGACAGCACATTGGGTTTGAAAATGTTATTGTCATTGCCTGAATTCTTGCAGCGAAAACGATTAATCGCATATTCTAAAACCCAATCCTCTTGCAGGAGTGTCTGTTTGCAAAATGTGAAGTGGATAAACTTATTCATTGATTCGACGTTAATTCAAGTCAAATGACCTTATCAGCGTTCAAGAATCATTGCGACGAAAATTCACTTTAGGCATGTACAATCTGTATCACATATCTGTGATTCATATCGAATGAAAAAAACATGTTTTTGCACTGAAAATCTGCTTCCAGCCGAAAATTCGACAAATACTTTTTTTATCCATCGATCCAAGGGCAGAGAAAGAGGTTTGTTATGTGTCATGTAAAACAACGAATTTTTAGTTTGTCACTTAGTGTTTATTTCGAACTGATAGGTTGTCGTTTTTTATTTTTTTTCTTAATTCTATTTTTCAAATTATTTATTTTTAGTTATTAATGGCGCGGTTTTTTCTTGAATTGAGGATAGAACACACAAAACAGTACGAAGGGTTAGCAGTACCCATCAAACAAATCGACGCCTCCTGAACAGCTTTATATAGCTTTGGAGAGTCGAATGTGTGATGGAACATACTGAACCCTTCGTAAAAATTGGTCAATTTGTTTTTGTGCACCTTAGCGGTTGTATAACACCGTGTAACAAATTTCAACTTTTTTTTCTGCACATGAGAAACTCCAATTGCTTGTTTTAGAGGACCAAAAACCAAGCACTTTTGCATCATTAGTTTCTTCGAAACCACGTCTAGATTTTTTTTTATCGATTTCTGTAGTTCTTTTGGAAACCTGAAAAATCAGCGATTTTTGTTTATACTCAAAACATCATTTTTT